AGGCAAGTTAATTCAGTCTGTTCAGCAAAATGTGATAACCACCCTGGAAGGGGCAAAAAAAAGTTAGAATGGCAAAACTTTGTGCAAGGGATTCCTGGGAGGCTATTATGAAAATATATTATGGAGGATCCAAGTGTATATTATAGAATCCCAGAATGGGTTGAGTTGGAAGGGATATTAAGGATCATTTAGTTCCAACCCCCCTGCATGGTAGGGACACCTCTCACTAGATCAGGTTGCTCCAAGCCCCATCGAGCCTTGCCTTGAACACTTCCGGGGTGGGGGCATCCATATCTTCCCTGGGCAACCTGTTCCAGTGTTTCACCACCCTCATACTGAAGAATTTTCTCCTAATGTCTAACTTAAATCTATCTTCTTCCAGTTTTGACTCATTACCTCTTGTTGTCTCACTACATGCCCTTGTAAAAAGTCTCTCTCCAGCTTTCCTGTAGCCCTTTCAGGTACTGGAATACCTCTATAAGGTCTCCCTGGAGCTTTCTCTTCTCCAGGCTTAACAGCCCCAACTCTCTCAGCCTGTCTTCACAGAAGTATATGTAGCAGTTGATGTTAGTTATGAACTGCACAGTTTACCAGATTTTATTATCCGTACTGCTGAATTGCTAGTTTTTTGACAAACAAGACTAGAGACAGGAGAAGCTTGAAGTTCTTGGTAGGAAAGTTCAGTCCATTGTTTACTTGGACATCCCTTTGCAGTGGTGCTTTTTTAGTTTGTTAGGTTTGTCAGAGTCCAGTCTAGCACTCAACTAGAACCTAATCACACTAGGGGTGATGATAGTTATTAATTTGCATTAGTGTATTGGTTTGGATCAAGTGGGTACCCTGAGCACATCTCCTGGTTGACCCTACTTATTGCTTTACAGTGCTCCACAGAGCAGGCTCAGGACATGTGCATTGGATTCCTTTATGCATGAGACCAAGTGGGAAGATACGCTCTAGGAACTCAGCTTTTGAGTGCTAATGCCTAACAGGGGGATGGTCAGCCTGTAAGAACATAGGAGAACAAGTCTGAAATAAAGTTCATGCTTATGAATACTGGGTATTCAGGATACAACTGCAGATCACTTGCTGTTCTGCACTTTTTGCTAATGTAGGCACTGCAAACTTGCTGTTTTGGGCTACTTTTTAGTTTTACAGGTTAAAGGTAGTAACATGGAAAGCAAGCATTTCAGTTTTGTTTTCTTCTTCCATGAAGAGAGCATATCAAGGGCAGAAGTAATTCAACAGACGCATGATTGAGCATGCTTCCCCACCTGTTACAGACTGACCATAGTGTCAGGTCTCCAGCAAAACCAGCAAGAAGTCAGTTGCCACAGTGGTGTGAGTCTGGGTCAGACGCTGTTGCCTCAGTCCCAGAGGCTTTGAGGAGCAGTCCACTGTTCTGGCTCCATCCTAGGGCTGTTCTAGCTGTCTAACATGACCTCAGGAGTATGCAAAGAGTGAAGGACATCTAGCGAGTGAGGGAGGTGGCCTTATCAGAAGGTGGGTAACTGCAGCAGAAACTAAGTAGGCATGTTTGTACTGCTTGAGTAGGTGCCTGAGCAATGCAGGCTTCCAGAGCCCTGCTAGTCTCAGAGGTAAACTTCCAGTGCTGCTGGTAAGATCATAAACCAGCAGAGAATTTGCTCTATGTTTACATATCATACAGAGCAGCTACTGACAATGATTTTGGTCTTATGCATAATTTAGTTAAGGGAGACTTCTTCAGAAGTTACTATTCTGTGTGTAAACAATCTGGGTGATTTTTGGCATCCTTGCTACTGGCAGTTTCCTTCTCTATAGCACAACTGACAGCTGTAGTTAGGTAGTTTTGTTACTTAAAGATAAAAAGCCATATTGCCTCACTGCCCCTTCCTGGAAAGGGAGTAGCTTGCTTCTGTGTTTTGTCTCAGTTCTGTAACAGCGTCTTCACAGGATGCACTGATACAATAGTAAAGTTTACTGTAGTTGTAAAAGCTTGCTGAGCAATGCCACAGTGGACTGAAGACCTTCCTTTGGTTTTCCTTTACAGAGAACATGTCTTGATTCACTTACAAAGCTGTCAGTTAGGATTCTGAAATCAGCCATCACTTTGATTTCTTGAGGAAATTGCATTAATCTCATTACAGTTTCAACCTTTTAAGTTTTTTATAGCCATTTTTAAACTTCATATGATTTTTCATCTGGGCTGATAACCTATTCAATTCTTGTAAATGTATCTCATATATTAAAGTTTTTTTGCTGTCTTGTTTGTCAAAATGTGATCATTCATCTAATTGATTACTTTATTTCCTTATAGACTAATTTGTATCTAAGGTTTAGAATGTTGTAATGTTGTATGGTCTTTGTTTAAAGATATTTTTTTCTGATTTCAGTGGTTAATGAGAGTGCACTGCAGTACGTTGGCATTTAAACCATGGGTGTCTAGTAGTCTTTTAAATAATGCATCCCTGCTTTTGTATTTTGTGCAACATTTTCCATCTTGTCAGTTTTCTGTTCAAACAGCTGACTTAAAAGTAATGTCAGTTTGATACCCCTGAAATGTTTTTACTCCAGAAACAGCTATCATGACCAATATTTGGGGCTGAAGTTCTGTAAGGGAACAGAAAGAGGAGTGGGCATCAGTATCTCAGTTGTGGAGATCCTGTGTTCTGGGTAAGTTAGCAAAAAGGAGATGCTGGAAAGTGCCTGTCAAGCCACAGAGGAGTTGTATTGACTTAGTTAAGAAACAGCAATACTATTATTTGTAGGAAGAGCAGGCTTCTAAGGAGAGAGTGAAGTATTTTGGGGGACAAAGCTGCCCTTGGGAATTCAACTTATCTTTTTCTTCTCCCCCATCTCTTCTTCTCTTGCCTGTCCTTTTTCATGCTGCCCTCACTGCCGGAAAGATGTTCCCCGTTACCTAGCAAGTATATGGGGCTGCTGACCCTGCCCTGCCCACAGCCCCACGGGACTCAGCTGCAGTGACTTAATGTTAGGAGGGAAGGGCTCTTGATGGCATCAGGCACATTAGCAGCTATGGATGGAGAGCAGGGAACTGCTTAAGGAAATGATGGGCATCAGGGTTGTTTTAGGGAGTCTGTGAGTGCTTGCTTAGAAGGGAGGGAAGAGGATAGGCTGGGGGAAACAAAATGTGCAGACCGTCCCTGGAAGAAAAGGTAGTCCAGTCTAGAAAGTTTAAGACCTTGTGAGCTACTTCTGGTAACTGGTGTGTATGGTAAAATATATCATAGATGCACTATTTTTTAATACTGGCTTAATACTGAGGAGTCTGGCTGTTTCATTAGACCCTCTGACATCTTGAAGTTACAAGGATGAGAATATGGTGATGATCACTCTTTGGCACTTCATGTTTCGCCTGTATAAAGAGTTCCATGAAGTTTTAATTAATTGGAAACCTGTTCCTCTTACAAATATTACTTTGTACTATTAAACTTCTTCATGTTTTTCAGTTTCCACCATGTAATTCAGCTGGGACTGAGGGGGCTGGGAGGAAAGATGCCTTTGTAACCTTCTGCCTCCCAGCTGGCTGGTCTTTGTGTTGGTGATATCATTCATATATAAAATACTTAATGCAGTCTATTGACTGCACACAGCAACAGCTGATCAAATAGCTAATTTATACCATGCATCACGATTATGTGCATAACTTGCATATAAACTTACATCCTGATTGCTTGAGTGATACATCTGTGCTTTAATGCATTGAATATTGGAGCAAGACACCTCTTTTGTTCCAGTATGAGTGAATTTTTATGAGGCTAGCTTGACCAGAGGCTGAATCAGTGAATTCTGTGGAATACTGAGCACACATGAGGAAATAAAAAAGTATAAATTCTTTTACTTTGCATCTGAGATACTTCTCTTTTCCTCTGTGCTTCCTTCACTATTTTTTTTTCCTCACGGGTTGATTGCATCTAATCTAATGGTAGCATTTTTTCTTTCATAACACAGATGTTTTTATGAATTGTTTGGTTTATAAATCCATTTGACCTGCACTTAGATGTGAAGGTAAGACAGTCAACCAGGGAAAAGCAGTGGATGTCATCTATCTTGACTTCTACAAGGCCTTTGACATGGTCCCCCACAACATCCTTCTTACTAAATTGGAGAGATATGGGTTTGATGGGTGGACTGTTCAGTGGATAAGGAATTGGCTGGATGGTCACATCAACAGCTTTAAGTCCAGATGTGAAACAGTGACAAGTGATGTCCCTCAGGGATCAGTTCTGCGCCCAGTGCTGTTTAATATCTTCATTAATGATATTGACAGTGGCATTGAGAGCACCCTCAGCAAGTTTGCTGGTGACACCAATCTGGGTGCTGCAGTAAATATGCCAGAGGCACAGGATGCCATCCAGAGGGACCTGGACAAGAAGAAGAAGTGAGCCCAGGTGCACCTCATGAGGTTCAACAAGGCCAAGTGCAGGAGCAAAATCCCATGACCTTTCAATAGTGTGAGAAAAGTTACAAAAAATTCATGTAACTAATTTACCTAGACCCTGGGTGTAAGAGTCGACTAGAAGACTGGTATTGTCTCGACATTGTCATCAGTGACTAGACCTCAAAACCTGGACTAACACCTCGACATGAGTTTGCAGTGGCTTGCTGAACTGGCTACTATCAGATGCAGAAACCATGGAGAACAGACTGAGGTATGGACAGTGCTGGTACCTGGTACGGGTCTGTTCTACTGGAGCAGCAAAGTGAAGAACTGCTATAGAGGAAGATGGATCATGCTTGCTGTGCCAACATAGATGAAGTCTTGAGTTGAACTTTCCTCATTAGAGTGTTATTATAATACAAAACCACACCTCCTGGTAAGAAGCTACCCGCTCTCTGGGCATGCGTGGAAGCCTCACTCCAGATAGGTGGAGATTTGCACATTTCCACGGGACAGAGGTCGAGTGTAGGTGGGTCCAAGGAGGAGCAAGGTGTGCTACCCAAGATAAAAGATGGTTTCTCAGTAATTGAACTTTGAAGATCTTCCTCACTGAGAGATCATGACGATAGAAGAAGAAGCAGCAGAATGCCTTCGGATTTGGGACCGCAGGCCTGCCTTCGGTAGCTATTATCCTCTTCCCCCCCCCTTTTACCTCATCTTTCCTATTTTTCTTTCTTTCTATCGCATGCCACTTTACAGGCAAGACCAATAAAGTCATTGTGTGTTGATAACTTAATTCCCTGTGCCTGTTGCCATTTCATTTTTGCACTTCAGTATCACAGCTGAAATGAACCATCATGCATCCATGGAGGAGTAGACCATGACACTGGGCCAATGTTGATTTTGCTTTTTTTAGTTGTTTTGTTTTTTATTTTGCTTACAATCCTTACTAATAATGCCTTACAGGCATTATTGTCTCAAGCCAGTATTTCAATTAAAATATTTCAGCTGGGTAATGTTGACTGACACCGGTAAAGGTGACTGGCGCCAGGTTCAATCTCTCAGTAGCAGAGCAGTAATCTGATTGTGTTCATTAGAGCAGTCAGCACGAGTGAAAACAATGCTATTAAATTGCAGTTTCTAACACAGTAATGCGATAAAGAAACTGTGGAAGATTTGAAGGAGAAAATCCACTGGTGCAAAATGGCTGCTTAGCTGCAGATAAGTACATGCCTTTCCTCCATCCCTGCAGTACTGCAGCCGTACGCAAGTGGTGTCAGGCTAATGGCACTGAACTTGCAGGATGTTTTTGGGACATCTCATAAAACGAGGTCAGAGAACCCTGAGTATAAACAAAGAGGATTTTTATCATCCTTTGGAGTAATTAAGTCTAAACAACCACATATAGTATTCTTCCATTAACTGATCTGATTCTAGGAACTAAACCAGAGGCTAGTTCAGGCCAAAGGAGCGTTTTTCTGCATCACCTCAAATTTACCTCAACTGCTTGGGGTGTATTTCTCTTCATTTCTTCCTATTACCCTAGGTCAAATGCTGTAGTTTTCCTGATCACTAATGAAGGGGTTCTCCTCAAACGTTCTGTGGTGCTAAGACAGGTGGATTTTTGTTTCGCTGGGTAGAGGGCAGCAGTTTTGGTCAGACTCAGTTTATTTACTGCCTGCATTTTGTTTGTGTTTCTGAGAAATGGAGAGTCAGACATGGTAGGTTAGGGCTACTGTGTGCAGAAGAAAACTTATGGTGAGAGAAGTTGTGTTCCTGCTGTGATCCCACAGCAATGCCAGCTTTAAAACTTTTTGTAGGTTTTGACAGATTTGCTGTTTTTTCATAACATTTCAGCTAGTCCAGGATTTACAGTTTTTGTGGGATTCTTCAGTTTCATTAAGAAAAATAAATTCCCAGCCCATCTGGTCAAAGTGAGACTTAGACTTAAGATCAAGAAGAATATAGATACTGAGATTTCTAAAAATGACAGCTTTAAGATGTTAAATGTTCAGGGACAAAGTGGTTGGACTGATATTTCTGAATACTTATGTTAAGATGCACTCAAGTTAATTTATCTTAGTGACCCTGAACTCAACTCTTATTTGTTTATATATAATCAATGACGGTATGTTGCCTTTTCTTGCTCCCAGTCTTGTGAAACATTTTTACATCTCACGAGTTCTCCATTCATCCCAGGGCAGAGGACTATGCTTGTTCTGCCATTTCCAAGATGCATTTTGTAACAGATCCTCACGTTGAGCCATGTGCTGTGTTTGTTTGCTTCCCTGGAGCTCATCAGGGGTGCTCAGACTCTGGCGCTCCGGGCTGCTCTGCCCACTGGCACTGGTTAAAGGAGCATCTGGTACCTGACATCTCTGCAGACAGAGATTTAGCTGTGTCCTAACAGTTTGAGAGCAAGGAAAAAGACCTCAAGAAGCTCATTAGTTTTGGCTTTATTTACAAGGTATGTTACGGCAGCCACTCCTCATGCACACATGCCTGAGCTCTCAGCTGGCTGGCTGGAGGATGGCTTGGCATGCAGCTGCTGCACCTGCAAATACACTGGGAAAATCAGGTGTTGATCCCTGCTCGGACACAGGATGTCTAAGGGGACGTGGTCAGCTGTTAACTGAGCCACTATACATCTTGTTTACACATGTGTATACAAATTGTGAAGGCACAATAGAGGTAAAAATCAACTCTATGCCTTTTAAGTGTTGGATGTTTCTTACGTAAGTGTACAACTGATATTTGTATGCAAGTCTCAAGTGTCTGGCATCTGTTACCAAAGTTAAAACTCCCCTGGGCAGTACTTCGTAAACATATTTTTGGTGTTAAATAAAGAAAGAGGGGGAGAGAGAAAAAACAGTAAATTTCACAATACTGGGGAGATCCAGTTGTGAGACACATAAGTTCTGTGGTAAGGCTTGCAAGTAAGTACAGTACAAGTTGGAGAGAGAAATTTTTAAGGTTATAAAATAAACACATTTTTTACAGTCCTCTTTAGAAACTGTTAAATTAATGCCTTTGACTTAGATGCTCTTTCTTTGTCCCTCACATTAATTTGAATTTAGAATTTGTATATTATTTTAATAATTACATTAGTTAATAATCCAATATTTTAATAATATAATAATGTGACAAGAAAATGTATGTTTTTGTTCTTAGAAGGGAGATAATAAACATGGGGGAACATGGTGAAGTAGAGAATAATATAGAGAAGATACATCAGAAACCATGGGAATGCCTTCAGAAGTAAACTTTTTTTACAGCTTTATAATCTATCCACCTCCAAGTAACTCACCCTGTTCCTTTTACACTTCAAGGGAGCTGGGTTTATCCTGACAGAGAAATAAAATCTTGCTGATGGGCTTCCTGTTGTGTATTGGTTGTCTTGCTGTCCAGTTCATATCCTATGAAAAAAACTGAATGGAAGAAGACGCAGGTATCATTAGAGAAGTATCAGAAATGCATGTCCTTTCTAGTGAATTTTTGGTGGGAATGCTAAATTAAAAAGGTATTGCAGTAAATTTGCTGATTCCAGGCAGAATCAGACTGGTGTTACAGAATATCAGTAAGATTTTTTTGTATTTACTTTGAATTTTTTGTCAATCCAAAGGCAATTTGAATTCTGCCCTGGCACAGAAATCCAAAATTTTATCTTAAAAAAATATATCTATTTTTAAATGGAATTAGTTGTTCTCTTAATATAAGAAAGCTGTTAGAAAGTAAGGTAGTGAGGTTATAATGAAGTTGTTTAATCAAAGGGTGCAGCTTAAGATGTTTACCAGGTACAGATATGTCAAACAGGAAAGTAGTAAGTTGGAACTGAAGATGGAATAATTATTGTGATTCTTTCATTTTAGTAAGATCATTGTGCATGCAGAGTGCTGCATGATGGAGAAATGATTTTCATGGCTTGAGCTTGCCTTGTAAAATTCTGGGGGAGGGAATCTCTTGCTGGTGTCTCTGAGTGGCTGCGGCTGGGTACCATGTTGCCATGGTAACGGATGGAGGCATGCCTGTTTAAACATCCTCTAAGCACAATGATATTTTCAGTCTGGGGCTTCCAATAGAACCTACCATAATTGTTTCTTCGTTGTTTGCATTCATTATCTGCCTATCAATGCTCTGAGCAGAACTGTAGGTGAGGCTGCTTAACTGTATGTTTTCTGCTATAAATATACCGGTCCTTGTTGCCCCTTGGAGAAAACTGAACTACAATGGAAACTGGATGCAATTACTGGACCCTTTGTGAAGTGGTGGCGCAAGTGCTTGAGCCCTTTTATTGCAATTCAGGTCTGATCCTGTTTAAATGCTCCTGGGGAGAAGGGGAAGGTGCTACCAGGTGACAAAACATTGTTTACATAATAGGAGTAACAGCAGCACCAGTCACATTTTTGCATGAACTTTACATTTTCATGTGTCTGTCTCACCTGTGAGGAATGGGGGCAATATTAAAGATCTGCGTTTTGTTGGTGATCTGCAAGAGAGTGAGAGGTCAGCCAGAGGCAGTGCTGAAATGTGAGGGTTGAACTTCTCAAGATGAGATCTTGCATCACATATGATACATTTTTTTTCAGGTTTTGCTTCACAGGCTTTGTGCATGCTCTGTTTGTGACAATTAGCGTGTTAATCACAGGGAGGCCACTCTGACCCTTGCCCACAAAAGAGGTTGGGGTTTGTAGGGCTTTCCTGCACCAGTTCTTTGTTTCTGGAAAGCAAACCTCAACCTTGTGCCCCAGTATTCACGTGCTTGTGTTCATTTCCATTTTAATATGTTTTTATTGCTGCTTCTGGTGCTTATCTGTCCTTGTATCTCTTTGGTTCGGAGCTCTACCTCTGCACCATCCAGCCCTCTAGCTGTTATAATAGTAACATTCCAGTAGCCCATTTGGGGTCTTGAGTCTGGCTTCAGGGAGCAGGTATGGGGTGATGTGGCATTACTGTGATTCCAAATGTGTGAGATACCAAAACCAGCAACATTCCTGCCTGTCAGTGTTGCACAGTAGTGTGGTATCTGAGTCTTGCCTTGTCCTGCACTGTGCTCTGAGACCTAATCTGGTCCTTTGCTGTGCCATGTGATCCTTCCAAGCCTCTGCCTTTGCTTCTTCCACCTTTTTCCCAAGTTACACATTTGTGATGCAGGAGAGGAGGAGCTAGAGGTTGGCTGTGTTCCCTGCCTCTGTCAGCAATTGCCTGTGTAATTTCTCCAGGAAACTTTGGATCAGAAGAGAATTTTCCTGTAGGTGAGAGAAGAGGGTGGACCACCAGCCCTTGAAAAGGAGTGAGTGGCCAGGTGGTGCTTAGTTTGGGGAGCCTGTAGGCTGCAACTTTCACTATAGATTCAAGCACCAAGAGCTAATTCCTGCTCCTACAGAAATATCATCTTCCGGAGGATGGGAATGGGGCAGCAAGGTATTAATAAGCCTGATCCTCCCCTCAACACTGTTTTGATTTTCTGCATTTGCATCAGTAAAGAGTAAACTGTTACATATGTGAATGTATGAAGGGAAAAAAAAAGTGGCACCTATCTGGAAATAAATAGCAGGGAGCAGATAGTGGGTAGGTGCAATAGGGCAGATGAAAGGTGCATACGGAGACAAGGAGGTAGTATCTGGGCTGACCACTGACAAAGGGCTGCGTTTTGGTTGAGTCTAGAGAGCTCTCCTTTCAAAGCTTCTTTGTCTGTTCAGCTCTTGGACGTAGACTGCCTTTGTTCCCAGTTGTGCTGAAATGTGTATTCATTAAATATTCAAATTCCTTAATCAGTGTTGGTAATTGAATATTATTAATTGATTACTCAATAACTGTTGGTATGATAAGCCAACAGAAACCCCCAGTGACAACAGCCTTCAGATATGTATTCATTCTGTAAATTTTTAAAAACTACTGTTGATCCTGTCCCAACTGATGAAATATTTATTTGTTTTGAAGAGCAACTTTTTTTTTTCTTTAATTTGTAAACTCTATTTATATATGAATTTTGTTTTCTATTTTTCCTTCAGAAAAGTTGTTTGAGGCGGTGGGTGGTCCATGTTTGCATACCATAACTGTTTTCTGTATTCTGTATTTTTGTTCTTCCTTAGTATCCTCAAATATTATTGAGCATAGTCAAGGCCACTGATCCACCCAGATGTTTTTGCAATGTAATTTCCTCAATAAGGAAGTATGGAAAGACCTTTATGGGTGTCATTACTGGTTTTCTCATTAGCACTTATGTGAAAACCCAAAATAAATAAGCCCATGAAGCTAGAAATAAAAGAAGGACAGTATGATTTCTTAATGGAAACATTGCTGCTTTTCTTCAGAAAATATCAGATCCTTTAGATAGATAGGTCTACACCATTGTCTCAGTTTTACAGGTGGGGAAACAAAGGGTTGAAGTGATTTAACCAGCACAGTGCAGCAGGTTCACTGCAGTGCTGGAAGCAGGACCCAGTTCTCCCTGGATGTTCTGTAGCACCTTTAGTATCTCATTAATAAGCTTTATCTAGGGCTACTATGTTTTCTTCATTATACTTCTTGTCAGTCCTGCCATGCTAGCTTTGGCCATCTGTTTTTTCCTGCTAGTGCTTTTGCCATTTCTTCCATGGCAGCCTTATGCTTGGAACAATCTGCTTGGTTGACTCCTTTTCAGAAACTACATGTACTAGGACATAACAAGGAAACTGACTGACAAGGCAGAAAGCCAGAAAGGATAGCTAAACTATGATGTATGAGCATGGCTTCTAGCCTGGTCTGTGCTGAAATTCATTCAACACATTGTATTGGTTCAAGAGGGTGATGCAACTCTCTAGATTGTAACTCATGTAATCCAATTAGAAATTCACTCGCACCTGGTCAAAGCAAGAACCTCAGTTTATACAAATCTCAGTTTGTGTGATGAAGTGAAAGGCAGACATGATCTTGAGCAGTTGCAGGCTGTATTCCCTCCATACTGGGCACCCTTTTAAGTTCCCTTCATTCCCATAGTGGCTTGACACACCTGCTGCTGGGACTGACACTACTATTTTCCTCTGCATTTATAAGGCTTTCTGGCATCAGAACTAAAATGAGATGTTCCCTCTCTAGGTGTGTAAGCTTCAAGAATTGGAACTTAGAAATAAAAGTATATGAAGAAAACAGGTGAGGAATGAAACAATTTTTTGGGGTACACTTACCCATATTTTTTCTTCTTATTGCCACACACAAGCACATATTCTGTCTCTTCTGAGTCAGACCGTATGTTGTTCTTCAGTACAGGAAACCTGTGACCTGCCTATATGACAACTTTGCTAATATACTTTAAAATATTGAGAGCTGGAAAGCAAATACTTGCAACAAACTTCAGGAAGACCTTTGAAATTTAGGACAGTGCTAATTTAAATTCACTTCTTCCTTTTTTTGTCAAAGTTATGAAAGGTGATGTGCTGATATTTGAGAACAAGAAACTGTCTGCCCCAAGTTCTCTTCCAGGCTAGATGACTATCATAACAGTGCTGCCTTATGCATCAGAGTAGCTTAGCATATGGTGCAAAAAGAGCTCAGTAAAATTTGGCCACAAAATGTTTTAATACATGGCTTCAGTTTAATTTAACTAATTTCTAGGGTTTTTTTTTTTATTTCCACCTTACCTCCCTGACAGAATGTTTGAAAGAAAAAATCAAGATCTGAATGGATAGCAATGTGAATGTTTATATGTCAGGTCCTAAAAGCCATGGCATGTATTTACAGAAGTATTCTTTATTTATTTATTTTTTTAATCTTTTAGGTCTCTCAGCAGCCAAACTGCTCACTGAGTCAGGCCTGAACGTGGTGTTGCTGGAAGCCAATGACAGGGTTGGCGGAAGAACTTTCACCGTAAGGGTAATTATCTCTACGCCCATTTATACTGTGTATGTGTACAAATAGTATATCCTGTACATATGTAAAATATACTATACATACATATGATTATACACACGTATGGTGTGTGTGTATATATATGTATAGTCCACATATACTATATGAATAGTGTACATAAATGTATTTATTTAGCTTTCTTGCTGGAGGACCTGCTTGAGGGAAAATTTCCAGAGCACTAGGAGGTAGGAAATTTTGTTATATTGTACCAGAATATTGCTGTGTGATCTGCAGGCTCTGGAATCATCAGTCCTTTCCTCTGGGAAGGAGAACATTATTATCTAAGTTTCAAAATAATTTCCTGGGAAGAGACAGTAGAGAAGTATCTATGAAAAAAGGCCCGTGAGGCCAACCATGCCATGAAGAGCCTTGAGCTGAACAGTAACAAGCCCCATGAGCAGTGACGTAGGCTAGCAGAATGGCAGGAGTGGCTGGGAACTAGAACCAGCCTTCACTTCTTTACCTTTTGCCCCACCTTGACCTAGGAGACCTAGAAGAGCTTACCTGTGCTACTTCCTAGCACAGTTTAGGAACCGGTCAGCGGCATGATGCCTGACTGACCAAGAACCACACAGATACCTGACTCTTCCTTCTCCCTCCGCTTGTCACGCTCTTTCCTCTCGTGTTTGTTGAAGCTGTAATGTAACAACAACCCAGCTAACTTGGTTATGAACTCCTTATCTGAGGTTTTTGATAATCACTGCACCAGAACTCCACCAAAGAACTGCACTTTTCTATGGGGGGAGCAATTTGGCCAAAATACTCTGGGAATGTTTCAATTAAAGAATTCCTCTAGACTGCTTTTTAAACTTATGTGTTATTGAGAAAGGGTTTATTTCCCCCCCCTCTTTTTTTTTATGTTGTGTGTGATAAAACAGAATAAGCAAGTTAAATATGTGGATCTTGGAGGAGCTTACGTGGGGCCAACGCAAAATCGTCTTCTGCGGTTGTCTAAAGAGTTAGGAATAGAGACGTATAAAGTGAATGAAGTTGAGCACCTGATACACCATGTCAAGGTAAGATGCTCTTAAGCATGCTGCTGTAGACAGGCAAGCTGTAGTAATTGGCTATTTCACTGTTTTCCATCCATGCTGCAGTGCAGTTTAAGTATGCATCATCTGAGTTTCTTGTTGAAAAGTAAGTACGTTGGTAATGAAGAACTCATGCAATTTACTATGTGCCTGTGCATCTACATCTGTACCCTGTTAGCTGATGCCTTGGTTCAGGTTTGAGATCTTAGTTAAAAGCTTTCAAAGAGCTTTATTGTTTATGACCAGTACTACTGTGACTCTTCTGCACAGGTGAGCTCTGAAATACACTGCCTGAGGTGTCTTCAGGTCCCTTTCAGAAGCCATAGAAGTATCATCAATCAGGCTGAAAGTTCCTCAGTGTGGATTTCCTAAACCAATGGCAATTATTATCCTGACTGAAGGAAAAGTGGGAGGTTAAGTCTGATTTTGCTGATGGGGAAACTGATGTGCAGAGTAGCAAAAGACATTGTGATGACAATTGCACAAGACTCTGGGAGTCAAATGTTCTTTTGGAGGCAGACCTAAGCAATCTGTTCATGATCTGAAACAGAACAGCTATGGGAAAGCTTTTAAAAAGCCCACATATTCTCTGTATTTGTACTATGCTCTCTTCAAAAGACCATCCTTTCTCCTTTCCTGATACAGAGCAGTGTTGCACTCCCACAGAAGGGAAACTTTCTATGTTGGTCCTGGGGAAATTAACATTGAATTTCCTTGTATGCATACAAAAACCCACTGTGCAATGACTGGCAAACTATTTGTCAGATCGTTGGTGTTTGATCAAAGAAAAATGAAAACAGTGACAGATTTTAAAATGGCAGTAGAGAAAAGGTGTTCTGCCAATTTTTTCCAATAATTTTCCCTCTTAATTGATATTAAAAAAGCTTTGTCAAGGTGATTTGCTATGGTGAATATCCACAGTAAGTTCTGCTGTGATAGAACTGATGGATACAATCCACAGTGTTCTGTTTTCTGTGCCGCCGGGATCCTCAAAACTTGTTCACATTATTTAGCTTTCAGAGCCGCCCCAGTAGCAACAGGAGGCCATGCCGTGAGGGGAACCCTTAATGGTAGAAGATGGTCAGTCAGGATGACCAGCTGTCAGGACAGCCTTGTTGTTCCAAAATGCTGCCAGAAGTCACTGAAGTCAAAGCTATAGCAGATATGTGGGCCTGATCTGTTGTCAGTAGCCAGTCAAGCATAGCTGCTTGTTTGGCAAGCTGGACCTCACTTTCTTTTAGGATCTATAGGAATCAGCTCGTGGGGGAATATTGATGTTACCATGTTGGTTGAAATAGCCTTTTGTTTTCCAACAGGTTTTTAGTGTGAGGAGAGTGGAGAATGGCACAAAAGTAGATTCTTGCCAAGGAGAATCTGTCTTTCCCTTGAATACGAGTGTCTGACTGTATGAGTTGCCAGAGGTTGTGCATAGCCTTTTATATAAAGGTATCTGTGGATACCTTTCATCCCAGGGCAGTCAGTGCCGGTGTGAGCCAAGGCTCTCATTTTTCCTCCCTATCCATTCAAGCCACCCAAGCCTGGAGGTCTGGGGTGCTTGCTGCTTTGGTTAGTGCCTGCATCAGTGCAAACAGATGCTGCGGAAGCTGTGAGGAAGACTGAGAGCCTTGGCTTGCTCCCACACTCATGTGGATGTGCTAAGACCTACTGAGAGATGATCATAGATGACAGAGTATGCCCTTACACATGTCAGGGGGATGAAGCACCCATTGCAATTTGATGAAGGCAAGTGGCTCAGTCTGAGTGCTGGTAGGCCTGTTTGAGATTGGCACTACACCTTACACAGGGCCGTGGAAAAATCTGCCCTGGAAGGGACTCTTGGAGGTTCCTACTCCACCCTGGGCATGGAGCAGTATCTACCTCACAGTTGGGTCGTGTCGCTTGGGACCATTCCCAGCCAAGTGTGGAAGAGAGAGAACCCATCTGGTGGCTGAGGTGCTCCCAAAGCATTCAAAGAGCATGCAGGTTGGATTAAGACTGAGTTTGTAGGCTCAGGATGCCAACGTGGCTGTCTGTAGGAGAGCTCCTGAAAAGAGGGAGAGAAGAGTGTGCTGGTGCTCCCTGGTAGCCAAGCAGGGGGTAGAGAAAGGAGATGTTTTACAGTCAGTAGCTTCTACTTTGCATCTCCCAATTTCACCAATTTTAAATCTTTTACTTCCTTTTTGACTTCTGTGTTTATACAAACTGTGGAAAAATGTTATAGCTGAAGAATACTTGCAGTTAAAGAATCAAAAGATGAACTGTAAATAGAAAAGATGCGTTATCTTGTGGCCAAATCAGTGTAATAAACTTCAGCCTTTTGTGTTTCATGTAACTGTAATACATTTCTTACAGATCTCTCACTTTTAGCTGTGTGGCTTGCCCATGCCTTCCCTGAAAATGGGTAGTCTTCTTGTGTGCTCCCTGAAATTTCAGTAGTACTGTCAAGTCATAGCTCGCAAATTAGATTCCAAAATTTATGAAGGTGTGTTTCCCCTGTGTGCGTTTAAATTCACATGTTGACCTAAGTTTTGTGACTGCAACCAAATCTAAATTCTGGACCACAAAATTCTCTCTGAACCCAAAGGGACAATGAAACCTAAAGATTTTAATTCTTCTCTCGCTACACTGTCAAGAATCACAGTGCACCTTGTAAAATTGGATGCTGTTTTTATATATATACCCAAGGGCAAAATCCAGCCTTTCATAGTTAATTAAATTAATTTTAGAGGCTTTTTAGTACAAGTAATATTTGCAGCTTCTTTGTACTACAAAATTAAAATAATGCTTTTGGTTGATCTCTGGGTGGGTCTTTGCTAATTAGGCTTTACAAAATTGATTGAATTGTGGGTTTTTTTCCCCTTTAATCTTTTTTAATGTCAGGTTCTACAGTGAGATTCTTTTTCATCTCTCATATTGTGTGTGTTATCTTCACAGAAACTTAAAATCATGTTTTTCTGGCCCAACAATTTTTTTCTTTCCCTCCACTTGTTAAGCAGCCTTTTTTCACAGTCTTTGAAAGAAGATTAGTATGTTCTTTTCATTTTGTGTTCATCAGCCTTAGAGAGATAATTAGTGTAGCTCTATAAGTAGTATTTGGTAGGCAAATTGCTGCCTGAACACCATTGCTTTTCAATAGCATAATGGATGTTGGGTTCATAAAACCATATTTAAGAAGCGAATGCAGAACTATCTGATAAGTCATCATCTCCTAATGGTGCTCCCATTGGACTGGTAAGCAGATGTAAGACACTTCTCAAAATAAGATAAAATAAGATAATTTTCCCTTAGCTGCCCTGGAGAGGATTTCAGGAACCATCTTAAATATGTAGATTTGCAGCTTTTGACTGGTGGTTTTTATTTTCCTCACCAAAATTACAGTTTTTGTCTTAGAAAAACAAATGAAAGTCTATATAGTCCAGGTAGTTTTTACCTTTGCCATGTAACAGTTTCTGGAAAGAACTGAAATACAAAAACATGCCCAGTATTTTGAGGGTTTAATGATCTGCAGATTTTCTTCATTAATTCAAATTGCACTTCACTTCTGTGCAGTCCCAGTAGCCATGCACCTTTTGTGCATTTTAAACCAGAAATTTATCAAATGTTACCAAATGTAACAGAGATTCCTTTGCTAAGTAAGGTATCATCAGAACTGGTTTACTCTGCTACCCTAAATCTGCAATAAAAAAAACCCATTCCTTTGTATGACTGGTTTGCTGAATTAATATTTTTAGAACTTGATTGCTTCATACACATTCAGTATGATCTCATCTTTGTCCTGCTGTGGTGCCAACTGAACACCCTCTGTCTGGTTGCATTGTTCCTGATGGAGAGATCGCATGAAAACCTGGTGTGATAGGCTGGCAGTAAGACTCCTCCTTCAGGCTACATTAGACCAACAAAGGTTGTTTCTCAAAATCTTGTCATTGGTCTATGGTAGATTCCCTCACTGCCATTGTTGCACCTGCAACCTTCCTCCTGTAGTGGTAACTTAAGTCCTGCTAGTTGTTTCCTTGGCGCCAGAAGTCAGGCTTGGTGTTGCACACATCCTGAGCTGGGAGAGGTCTTTCAAGTTAAAATACTGGGTGAAACATGTAGCATTCCCACCCTACTCACTGGTCAGGTTCTTGGCAGAGAGTTGCTGATTGCTTCCTCACTTCAGTTAAGCTCCCTGTAGAAGAACAGAGCTTTCCCATGCCCATTCCTCTGCCAGCAGCACTGGCTAGAGGTGGTCAGATGCATGTCATGCCCTCTTCAAGTTTAGCACAACTTGCACATACAGTCGACATCTCTGGAGAGAATGCCAGTGTGAACCCTGCAGCACATCACTGAAGGTGAATATTTAGTCTTAGACATACAATACTTTTAATTAGAACCACAAATCTGCATTAATGTTAACGGGTTATAATCTACAATAGATCTGCAGAAAAAAAAAATTACATCCCTCTTGGGTGTAATTAATTTTCAGCACTGCTGTGTTTATTAAAATGCAGTTTGCTGTGGTCCTGTTCGTGAATAAAACATGTGATGGTCCTGTTGTATTGGGATTTAATTAGCATGTGGATAAGTGACTGCTGTCTGTCCTAAAGTTGTGGAATTTATTGGTGTTTCTTTTGTGATATCAGTGATACATGCACTGAAGCTAAGCAAAATTATTTATTTAAGCTTTTGACCTGCTCCTCTACAAATCTACGAGCAGTATGTCCTGGTATAGTTTGTAGTACAGAGCATAACAGCTTCAATGGAATTTTGAATGGTGAGATAGAGTGCATTCAGAGAATGAAAAGTCTGTGAAACACACAGTTGCCATCAATTTAAGTGAGGCAAAATGGCATAACATATTTTGGTTTTTTTCCCTTTTTTGAGTGGTGTTCCCCGATGGTTGGTACTTCGACCAGTACTGTTTAACATCTCTGTTGGTGACATGGATAGTGGCATTGAGTGCACCCTCAGCAAGTTTGTTGATGATACCAAGCTGTGTAGTGACA